TTAAAAAATGTTCAAGTAATGTTGAACAATAAATCTAAATAAAATTGAAATCACTATGTCTTAGTGATTATGAAAGTGCTGTTATTTGTGGATGACTGATAATATAAAGCGCGAATCTGGAGAAATGCGTTTATTTTTTTCATTCTCAGTGTTGAGAAACATAGCCTGCTTGTGTTTACGTTATTATGTTAATAACCAAAGTACCGAATTATGTTACGTATTTATTTTGTATGAAAACTAGTGTAGTTGGCATACTTACGGATTAAAAACGGCCGTTGTATGATCTCATGTATCAGTGCTGCACAAGCTCTCACAAACAGACTCGTGTACACAGAGAGAAGATATTTATAATATAAAAATTGACAGGCAAAGTTTGACGGGCTTGCTTGTGTGTTCTTTGTCAAAATGTCAAAGCTTTTTGTCTTGTCTATTCGTGTTTTTACAATTAGTTAAGTGACGGACGCTTTACTGTATGTCGGATTCGTCTTATTTGAACAATTATATTATTGGTCATGTGACAGGACTCCTGTCTATTCATTGTTAACTGTTTCTATAAATATATTTGGATTGGCTAAAGTTTATTCAGCTAATGCATGTCCTGTTTATAATGTGTAGCCTAATGTTCAAAAGCACAAATATAAGCCCTTTTCCCTGTAGGATTTAATATCATATTTGGATATTGGAATAATCAATTAAGTAGCCAATTTAAAATAAATAACATGTGTACACGTTTTTTTTTTTTTTTGTTTTTTTACTGGTATCTAGGTTTTTTAAAATTATTTTAGACTAATTGACCAGCACAGATTATATGCAATAGAATACTAATCAATCATGAATAAAGAAATGGAGTTGAGTAGGATTGAAACTTTGTACTTTCACTGTAGTATTTGTGTCAAATTAAGAAAAACCTTTAGAGGTCAAAACTATTTTTATAGATTTATAAAGATAGGCATGTGTCTGTGTGTGACACAGACAAAAATAATGACAAAAATATATTTGGAGATACCCCCCCGCGTGCCGCAGCATAAAAGTACTCATAAAATTTTTTCTAGGTTGGCAGGTATGGCAAAGTTTCATTCACTCCCTCTCTGCCATGCACGCGCCGCGCGCTATGTATGTTATGTGCGGATTCCGGGAGATTTTAACTAATTTGCGGATTTTAACTAATTTGCGCCGCAATCTATCGCAAATCAAAGTGAAAGTAAGTCGCAGACGCTTAACACTACCATCTTCATTAAAAGTAAAGAAATGTAATTATCTTACCAGGGCTGCTGCCACTCTCTCTTATCGCTGTCTTTGCTGATTTTGAAATTAGCCGATGATCAATAAAATGCAGCTAATATCTGTTGCTTTCGGTGACGTGCACTTCATGAATTCTGTCTATAGCGCGGGAATTTTAGATCGGATTTATATCTGTTTTGCAAAAACACATTTATGTGACCAGGTTTAAATGGAATCGTTTTAATAAATCAGAGCTATCCGATATGAGAAAACGCATGAAGTGGCCAGGTGTAAACAGCCCCTAAATGTTTATTGTAGTAATGTTAGATGTCCCTCTAGTGGGCCAAACGTGTAACAACAACCAAAGGCTATAGTGGCATTGACGATCCATAGGAATCAGTGATGCGCGGGTTGATCCGAAATGAGCGGGTGCCTGCGGTCACCCGCGGTTACCCGCAGTTACGGGTCATCCAAAAATGTTTTTAATGATATTCGGGTCGCGGTCGGTCGGGTCGTTTGAAAAAAGATGCCAATTAAACATTTGTATTAATATAGTACTAGACACAATGTTTGATGAAATATACAGCCCTACACATTATTGGCTGCAATAACTGGCACGAAGATAGCACACAAGCTCAGTCTAAACAGTTCTCGGTTCTATACTAGTGATTGGAGAACCGCGGTCCGCTGTCCCGCAGTATCAGCTGCTCGTGCTCATCACTTCTCTCAACAGTGGCACATGTCTCGGTTCAGTGAACTGTTGGAGTTACTGGAGTAAAATATAATTCAGGATATTGATTTATTTCGATTCGTAGGCGACTGTCAGGCATGTCTGAAAGTGAGTAACTTCAGTAACTTGTGGATCAGCACTGACGCAAGACGCGAACTGTTTCGAACGATTCAGTTCGATTTAGTGTACTGGTTCGACCGGTTCACTAAAAAGAACCGGTTCAAAAGAACGATTCGTTCACGAACCGGCCATGATCACTACAGTCTGCAGAGAGATGGAGGCGGCAAGAGAAAAGGTAATGACTGGGGAGTGGAAGCTCCGCAAATACACAAATAGAAAGAGTAAAAGTGTGGGAGACATTTGCTGAAATAATGAAAGATGATGGCGAAAGTGCTGGCTTTGCCTTTGTTATGTGTAGGACGTCTTCTTGCGACGCTGTGTTGTTACACGTCTATGGCCCAATAACGCTCCGATGAGCATTTACTAATTTTTAAAAATGCGGTCAGGAAGCGGGTCGGGTACAATATTTTTTTACTTTTTTTTTTTTGCGGTCCGAGTTGCGGGCGGGTAGTTGAAAACGTTGGTCGGTTGCGGGTTGTTTATACATTGACCCGCGCATCACTGATAGGAAAGTGTAATGTCGTAAATATTAATAATAGGATCAATTTGAGCATTTAATATCCGAATATTATTCGAATATTACATAAAATAAGGAATGGAATTCGAATAGTATTATAGAGGAAGATTGACAGCCCTATTTTACACAGGATCGTTTTATAAAACTTTCCTTAGAGACATCTGGGATTCACTGATAATCCGCTGTTACTGGTGAACGGGGCCGAAACGACTATCTCCCGCCTCAGTGTTCATCCTCCCATCACGAAAGCAGTATCAGCTAATATCACCGTCGACAGCTTTCCCGCGAGTGGCGGTGGTTTCAGCGCAGCCAGCGGACACGCCCCCAGTGTTTGAGAACAGAGATAACTGCTCATTTTTTTTCAAGATTTTGATAGCTTATTTTATGTACTTGCCGGCTTTTTCATCATTCAAATTTGGCTGGGTGGCTAATAACACATTTTTCTGTGGTGTGACAAACTCAGAACACTGTTCTGGCTCTCTAGTATTACATTAGTTCGCCGCTGTATTTCTTTGTCCTTCCACTGGGGGTCAGTATCTCCATTAGCGGGTTTAGTTTTTCTTCTACTATTTTTGCGTGCTCTAGTTGAGCGCTCGTGAGTCATGTGCGAATGCAACAGGCAGAAAAAAGTTTGTCTCACGCGTTATAAGTGTGATGTTCCTGAGACGTTCTCATTTCTACTCTCCTCTCAGACTCCTTATCTTCGAGAAGCCTTGACATGCATAATCTGTAAGTTTCTTAATGGCCTATGTTGTTTTTCTATATAATCCGTTATTTCAGTTATGGTAACCCAGACAGCAAAAATCATGCGGGCCAGATCTGGCCCAGAACCTTCATAAGTTCTGGGCCAGATCTGTAAAACGGACCCGGGCCGGTGTCCTTTAGCACAACGGGCCAATGCCGGTGTGGATCCGGTTTTCACATCTGTGCCGGCACTGGGCCGGCACTGGCCCAGCTCCAGAACAGATGAGAATTATTTTAGTTATTTGGCCCAAAGGTGGGCCAGATCTGGACCAGTTCCATACTGGATCCGGGCCAGATCTGGACAGGCACTGGGCCATCTCCATTTATTAGTTCTGGCCCGGAATCACACCACCTCTGGCATCTGTCATAACCTTGATCTATACCACAAAACAAACCATATACAAAAATACAGATTTTTTTCAGTTAAAGGGGTAGTTTAGTTTGTTTTAGATGTTGTGCACGATTCAGCTTGTACTATGGGTCCTAGTAATAGATATCAGTGAAGGTATACCATTTCTGTCTGAGAAGTGTAACAAATAATGACTTGTATATTTTCAAAGTACACTAAAGCTGATGATTCACAGAGCAACTTTTAGAGCAATTGTACTGGGCAATGTTGTCGTCAATTGTAATGAGTAAATATTACTACCGTAATCCCCTTCCCCCACCATCTTACGATTTCTTGTTTTACTTGCGTTTTCTTTTTCCTAGCATTTTAAACCCGATTACTTTTCTTTCTTGGAGCACAAAGCATGGATAGTCAAAGCTGTTACACAGACTGTTTCTATTTGTCCTGCATAGAATTTCAACAAAGAAAGTGATAGAACGATCTAAGAACGCCGATCCATGTCCACCGGTGAGATGTGAATAAGGTGATAATGTGAGCGCGAACAGTAGGCTACGTGTACATATTGAAGAGAAGAAAACGGTTCGTGTTTGTGTTTCTTCCGAAAACAACGGACCATATGAGATTCTGCACAGTTCAGCGCACTTGGATCGGCGTTCTTAGATCGACTGGTAGAGACTAATTTTCAAAGATGGCTTCTTCCTGTATTCGCGAAGTTGACTGTGTGTATAAAATATCTTCTTATTAAACTCTATGGACACTGACAAAGTTCTCAATGCTTCGGTTTAAATGTAGGGACCTTTGTTATGCTGTCGTGTTAGTGTGGGGCTATTTTGAGCCTTGTTAGTGGTAATAACAAGCAATTTTTACTTGTCATTACTCTATGCCCTATATACTAGCATTATACTAGCACTATAGGCTAAACTGTTTTCAGAGATAAAACTATTTACATTCGGCAATCATGAAAACAAATCTCAGATAACAGTTGACTAGGTAGCAATGTGTAATTAGACCAAAGGTTCATTTTGCGCCGGAGTTGTCCTTTAAATCTGTATCTGTATTGCATTTTCAAACTTCAAACAAAAATCATTAAAATTAACAAGTTAATAGATGTTTTCTCTGGAAGTATGTTGGTTTGAGGTGAAAAAAGTTCACCTCAGTTGGTTTAGTTTGTCATTTGCTAAGTGATCGTAATAAATAAACACATAGGCTTACACAATCCCTTTCGTCCTAAAGATGCATCCTACAGAATATTTCTATCGTTCCCAGGACAGCCCTGAAAAAATATGTCACTGTTCCTACATTCGTACTACATAGCTGCAATGCTATTAACAACAATTTGCAAAGTTAAACACAAAACAAATGTTTCTACAAAAGACTAGCACAATGATTTATCTACAATTTACCATGGTTAATGCATCTCTGGCCATGGCACGTTCTTTGCGGCCACCTCTGCGGTCAGAGGCCGGGTTGAACCAGCGGATGGCGTGCTGGTTAATCTCGTTGTCCGATGCGCTGCTAGCAACTTGGTTCTTCCGTACAGCCTCTGTTAAGAGAGAAAGTCAATTGGTTGATGGGTACAAATTCTGAAAATTACCTCTAAGTCAAGCCAATAACCCACTGTTTTGAGAAAAGCTTTAGATGTTGCCCATGTTTACTATTGTTGGTGTGGCAGAATACCTAATTTTGTGTAGACTTTCATTTAGTAACTCAAAACAAATGAATAACTAATCACAACTAGATTGTATTGGATCATCCTTAAATCAACCTTTTCAAGAGGAAGTGATTATGTGAGTAACAGTTCTGTCATGACTGCAATCTATTTCAGCACTGCTATCAAAGTATTTTTTTTGGCTTTAAAGTTGCATCCCTTATTATGCATTATTAGTAGTGTAAAACTAGTAAAATAAAAATTCTTACTAGTAACATTTGGAATAAATACTAGTATCTAATAAATATGTACTAGTATCTAATGAATAAGTACTAATATCTAATGAACAAGTACTAGTATCTATTTAATAGGTACTAGTATCTAAAAAATAAGTACTAGTACCTAATGAATAACTACTAGTATCTAATGTATATGTACTAGTCACAATTGGAATACATACTAGTCAGAACTGAATAGTTGATATCTGAATGACAGATCCCCATGGAAGTCAATGGCAACAAAAGTCACAATATTTAGTCACAAAAGAATAGTCAGTCACTATCGCAATAAGTACTAGTACCTAATGAATAAGTACTAGTATCTAATAAAAAAGAACTAGTATCTAAGTACTAGTATCTTTAAAAAGGTTCTAGTACCTAAAGAATCAACACTAGTATCTAAAGAATGAACACTAGTATCTAAAGAATTACACTAGTAGCTATTGAATAAGTACTAGTACTTAATGAAATAGATACTAATATCTAAAAAATAAGTACTAGTAGCATGAAAATAGAGACTAGTAGGTTAAAATGATTAAATGTTAAGTGGCTTGCCATAACCCAAATAAATATCCAAATGAATCAGGCACTGCTCAACCATAATACCACGGCGGGATTTCATACAAAGTCAACGAAAAGAAACGGAGAGATGCGTTTTCCAGCCCAATGACCTTATATTTGTCATAATTTGACAGTGAACTTAGTAAACAATTAATTTACACCTATGAATTAACGTTAACTTATAATTAATGTCAGATGAAAATTCTAATTTCTTCTAGCTTTGATTTTTAATACTTTACCTATCATAACTTCATAATGTTGTGCTTTATCATAGCAGGATAAGGATTTAAAAAAAAAAAAAAAGTCGGAAAAAAATACTTTAGTTAACTTACCCTAATAATCCGGGGCTCTCGCAGCCAGGGGTGAAGAAAATATCTAAAAAGGAAGACAGGTGCTGTTAATTAACGTTAGTGCTGTTCAAAACTACGTATACAACATCATTGTAAGTTAACTAACGTTAAACAGCATTAATGTTTAAGCTAGCTACACACAAACTAGTTGTTTATTAATGCTAGCTTAGCTATCAGTTCATTCAGCTAACCCAGCTAAAAAGAGTACGTTACGTTAGCCAATCTTTTTCAATAGCCATCGTAAGAAGTTAAAACCCGGTCAAAACTTTCCGAAATGTTGATAACAAACATTACACCGCTATTAAAAACAAGCATACTAAACTGTTTGACTGTTTGATATCGTTCAACTTACCGTTATAAACTCTTTCCACGGAGCTTGCAGTCCGAAGATCCAAATGACCAACAGTTCACGCGCTCGTTCCAACGGCCCCGGGCCAGAACAACAACGATTCCGCCGACTGACTTCTGATCTGGAATGAACCGGTTAAAAAAAAAAAAAGGAAACAATTCGCGCGCTCGTTCCGACGAGTCCGGGCCAGAACTATTATGATTCCGCCGACTGATGGATGTTCACGCCTACTCCCGATGTACACAGACTACATGCGGGCCGTATCTGGAATGGGGCAGTAAAACGGGGGTGACTGTTACACGGATCTGCCGGTTTGGAGGCGGATCCGGCCCAGAGTCAGCTGCTATCTGGGAACTCTTCTTAGCAAACGTCAGTAGCTTCACGCATGGATGCGATCGAGCAGTATATTACGAATCGAGGTTAGCTCTTTTTCTCTCAATCCGGTCGTCGGGTTGTATTTATTGGTTGTTAAGGATTAAATAATTAGTCTTGGTGATTCCTAAATAGCTTTAACGATGTCTAGGTGAGTTTGTGTTCGTCTAAATCTAATTAAAAAGGGAAATCGGGTTCTATCTTTACTAAATAATGTAGAAAGATAAAAATGTACAACTTTATTAAATATTCTATTCTGAAATACAGAAATACTGTATTCTGAGCTGTTTGTGAATTTGTGTATTGAAACCGCAAAACAGTATTCAGCAGTCAGCATTATAGCTTCTTGATACAAGCTGTATTGATCACTGTGATCTTGTGATTTTTATGTTTGTATGCAAATTATTCCCAAGATGTAAAGGCACAACAATGTGTTTGTTTTTTGTTAATAAAACATATCTTTAATATAATTTGTTTATATGTTCACAGTTTTACAGTAAAAACAACAAGAAGGGAAAATAGTGAAAAAGAGAAGCCTTCAGTAAAGACGCTAAGAAGAAATCTGAGTCTTGTCATTCCTGGAACCACCTTGTTGTTATGTTTAGCTCTCTGCATAGGCTGAGTAGCTGCACACTCAGCTGAGGGCATTTTGACTTTACAGGGACTTGGCTTTCATTCTGTTGGGAAGGCTTCAAATTTTTATTTTTTACTATTTTTTATCAGATGGTGCCTTTTTTTTAGGTTTGGCCTATAAAACAAATCGCTTTATTCCTGTTTTCTGCTTCGGCATATTATAGAGCCAACTGGATAAATTATGCAACGATATTTGTGTGGGTGTGTTGGTATGGATGTCAGAGTGTGGTTAGTGTAAAGCCCAGCTCGATTGGCCCAAATAAGGCATCCAATCAGCAGGAGAAGGTTACTCTGCGTATTACTTGCCTTTCCTTCACGCAACACAACAAGATTAAATACAATATATTTTGTTATATGTATCGACTCGTTTATTCATCTGACTCCATAAAATGAATAGGTTTTAATGATATCCTTGTATCATTAAATGTTAGTAAATGTTTCATTATTCAATTCGACACTGAATTTAGTTTATCTGTAATCAGGAAACAATATCGCTCTGCAGTACTTATCTCAAAGCCCGCACGACACACTCCGGTCAGTTCCAATAAGCAATTCAGAGGTAATTTGACTTGATATCTGGGATCTGCCGTACTCACACGTACAATCAGAGATATCTTTACAAGTCCCCTTGAATGCCTCCTCTAGAACTTAAATCAATGTATTACTATGGTAGGGACGAATATGACCACCATGAAAGAAAACAGTTTAACCAACTCAACGTCTCTTAAATGGCTTCAGGTCAAAACCCGCGGTCTGAGAACCACGCACGTTTATCCAAAGTAATCATTAACTTAGAACAGTGAATACGGGCACACCCAAAAACTAGGTTGATTAAAAGAGCATTTGCTGATTCTAGTCGGAAATAACTTGCTCCGCCAATTCAAGTACACTTAAACTGGTTTCGGATATTAGCCGTTGTTAATCTGACGCGAAAGAAATATTCGAATGGAAATATTCGAATCCAATGATCTAGGAAAAAACAATCTTTCAGAGTCACTTAGAATAATATCAAATGTTTACAATTTATTGAACAGGTAATGAAGCAATAATTCAAATTCAATTCAAAAGGATAATACGATCAGTTAAGCATTCTACAGCAAAAATTCAGAAATCACAGAATTCGTAGAAAATATTACCTGTCAATAGAATTACACACAGCGATTGTGCGGGCAGTAGGGCTGGGCCATATGGCCTAAAAATAATATCCCCGATTTTATTTTTTTTAATTCGATTTACGATTTATTTAATCAAAAGCAAGACAGATTTAACCCCAATTTCTAGAATGAATAATAAAGAAATGAACACCCTCTAGGAATCAAAGTCCCAGCTGTGTTTTAAGTAACACTTTGTACTCTAGACTAAAAGAAGACAAACATTCACCTTGAGAGTATAGCACCATTTTCTAGAGCATTAAAGGGTTAGTTCACCCAAAAATGAAAATTAAGTCATTAATTACTCACCCCCATGCTGTACCAACCCCGTAAGACCTTCGTTCATCTTCAGAACACAAATAAAGATATTTTTGATTGAATCTGAGAGCTGGATCAGTCCTACATAGACTGCCTAAGGGACTGGCTCTTGACGGCCCATAAAGTCATTAAAGAAAAGGTTTAAATATTCCATGTGCCTACAGCGGCTCAATTATACGTTTATCAAGCGACGAGACTACTTTTTGTGCGAAAAAAACATAAATAACGACTTTATTCGACTATTCTAATACTTCCTTATTGGTGCATGCGCGAGAACTGAGACGAGGACGTTCTCCTTCGACTTGTTACCGGCTGCTCCGCTTAGGAGTATTACCGCCACCTACCGTATAAGATGATGTGCTGATTTAGCTGGAAGCGCAAAACTTTCTGTTTACAAGCAGAGGAAGATCTGCCCTGTACATACGCTTTTCAATTACCGTATTTTCCGCACTACAAGGTGCACTTAAAAGTCTTTAATCTTCTCAAAAAAACAACAGTGTGCCTTATTATCATCTTATACGGTAGGTGGCAGTAATACTCCTAAGCGGTGAGCAGCCGGTAACAAGAAGTAGTCAAAGGAGAACCGATGTAGAACGTCCTCGTCTCAGTTCTCGCGCATGCGCCCATAAGGAAGTAATGGAATAAGTGAATAAAGTCGTTATTTATGTTTTTTTCGCACAAAAAGTATTCTCGTCGCTTGATAAACTTATAGTTGAGCCGCTGTAGACACGTGGGATATTTAAACATTTTCTTTAATGACTTTCTGGGCCGTCAAGAGCTAGTCCCTTAGGCAGCCAATGTGGCAGTTATACAGCTCTCAGATTCAATCAAAAATATCTTCATTTGTGTTCCGAAGATGAACGAAGGTCTTACGGGGTTGGTACAGCATGGGGGTGAGTAATTAATGACTTAATTTTCATTTTGGGGTGAACTAACCCTTTAACAATACATTCAAATCTGAGGAAAATTGTTAGAATTCAAGGATTTGCCAGCATACAGAATTCAGCACTGAACAAAAAGTATGTTTTGAACGGTGAGGGGAGTCTCTTAAAATGCTTAAATTGGCCATTGCGTTCAAGAAATAAACACATACGGTATGTCTGATTGGCTACATCGCTCAACGGTGCAAACATGTTATAGAAACTCTGGCCTGTAAATCGTTTCTATTTTGTTTTAGTTATTCTTGATGCTTTTCTGCAACAGATGAATACAAATCTATTACTTTTTATTTAATCATAGATATTTCTAGTTTGCGGGAGTCCCGCGAATCGTTTTATTCTCCCGCAAACCGCACACACATAGTGCATTACCGCCCGCGCTCGGCCATCAAATCTAGTCCCGCGCCGCACTCTATTGCGCTGGCAGTGCACGTCTCTCAAGGGCCCGGTCCGACCCGAGGATAGTGACGGGAAATATCGGCTCGTGCAGAAGCTCTAGCTCACTCCTACGCTAAGGAACAAACTTCCTACTCTCACCGGCAGCCCACTCTCATGTTGTCGCTTGCTGTATGCCGTTGCCGTTTCGTGTGTGCTATGATGTTGTTGTTGTCGCTTGCCATACTGCTACGTGAGTGAAACTAACACTACGGAAACTCCGGGGAGCCAAAAATGTGACATTACACAAACTCGATTTACTTATTTTTTAAATCGCCTGCAACAAAAAATTTGAATTAATTAATTTAATCGATTTTTCACCCAGGCCTAGCGGGCAGTCAACCTACAGACTCCCCAAACCTTTCTGCTCCTTTTCCTTATAAACCAGATAATTCAATTATCACCAAATGGTGAGGTCTGTCTTAACAATTATATTTTGGTTGTGTATTCAGGAGCTCACACTGTTGTCTGCCTGATTTTACACACATGAGGTAGTCTGAATGAAGCTGTTAAGGGACACATCACCTTTCTCATGTTTCATAACTTCTACCTTTTCGTCAGAAAAGGGAAAATGAGACCATTTTACCAGGCGCACTGTGACATTTCAAAACACCAAACATGAATATTTACATTTTGTACACACATTACATTGCATAAGTTTTTAGTGTATTTCAGGTGAGGAGGAGAAGGGGGTGTGGGGGAGATAGTGTGTGTGAAGTGTGTACTCCTCTGTGTGCTGTGTCTCCAAAGTTCCTGTTACATATGCAAGAGGAAGTTACACATTCGAGAGACCCTTCAAGTGTTGTTTCCCGTGGGGACCTTTTGCCACATAGAGGGGTCAACCAGACATCCTGGCACCAGTCTTACAGTTAGTATGTGTGTTATAAAAAAATGTGTGTGTGTGCGCGCGCATGCGTGTGTTTGTAATACTGAGAGAGAAAAACTGCAAATAACAAATCCAATCACTATGAGCACCAGTGGGGTTTTGCTGCCACCCAATGGGGGAAATATGTTACTACGACCAAACAAACTGTTACCGAAAGCTCATTTTTTGAGATATCATCCTCAAATTTGGAACACAACCTATTTAGATTTATGGCTTTGATTTTATTGCAGTTTTGAGTTGAACCTGATTTATAAAAAATTAAAATATTTTATATAAAATATTTTTTTAAAATAATTTTCATAAACTTTTATTTTTATTTAACTTTTACTTCTATTTTTTTTTTTTACTTCAGCAATAATCTGCTAAGGGTCTTCTTTAAAATGATACCAAACTTAAGTCTGTGCTCCAAAGTGTCACATTTTTATGACAGTTTTTTTGACATGAACATTTTTGTCCTCTTTTTACCTATGTGTAACTTTTTTTAATTTAAAGGGGGGGTTGACTGCGATTTCACTTTTTTCATTTTAAATAGTGTGTAATGTTGCTGTTGGTGCATGAACAGTATCTGCAAAGTTGCAGCGCTGAAAGTTCGATGTAAGCAGAGATATCGTCTTTTAAAAATC